GGGCCGGGACACCCGGGAACATCCGCGTAACTCCAGCGCAGCAAGCCGGGAGCACCGAAAGCTGCATGCATCTACCACCCCATGTGAGCGCTAAAGGAGGGCCCAGCCCCGGGAGCCCAGACGGTGGCAGTCCAAGCTGCAGAAGCCTTTAAGTTTTCTCATATCACTTCTAAAAACCCAAGTTCCCAAACCCACCAGAGGGCTAGTCCAAACAGCTCATTTTTCAGCCTCCTTTAAGTGCAAACTTTGCTCCCAACAAACCCGCTGGGGCTCAAGCACTTGGACTCACCACGGCCTCCCTTAGGGTCCAGGACGTTATCGATTAGGGAAACTAAAGCACAGGCTATTTCCAGAGGGCCATTAGCGGAGCCGGACACCGGGCATAGAGCTGTTGCTGCTGGGGCTGCCGACCCCACTTCCTTGGGGCCGCAGCAGAATTACACTAAAGCATCCAAGTATCTGCGTTCAGGAACTGGAACCTTTAACACAAAGCATGCAACCCATTCCCTGCGTGCGGGAAGGCTGCCACAGCGCTAACCGTCCCGAGCACCAAACTGCACTCCCCTAACCCTGACACAGACGCTTAGAGCGGCGATGACCGTGAAGCAGCTGCACCACGAGCCACAAAACATTCCCCAGCCGCCACCAGCGAACATGCAACAGCACAAAAGCCCAAAGCCACAGACTCAGCAACCGCCCTCTAGCAAGCATTGCAAAAGAGAAAAGGCCCTGCAAATCTAAGGAAGCACCTGCACCCAGACAGGTACCAAAACACCCCAGAGAGCCTTTTAAGGTCCAGGCTGATCTGACCTGTGAATAGCAGCTGCTGGAAGAGCAATGCTGCACAGTAGCAACGGCCAGCCTCTAAAGTTCTCCTCTAACCACTGGACAAACATATACATAAAAAAAATCCCAGCCAGCTACTACATGCAACAATAACTGAAGTCAAAATCATGCCAAGGAGCAGAGAACTAGTTGGGCCCGTGCCTGCTGCGCCGAGCGTTTCCCACCCTGCCCGCCACGGTCCGCGGGAAGGAGAGGCTCAGCCAGGCCTTGGGCTGTTTGCGAGCGCAGGCGCCGTCCCTGCGAGAGCAGGTACCTGCCCTCCGCGCGCAGCCAGCCTCTCGCTGCCGTGCCCAGGCCAGGAGGAACGTGCACCCGTAACGCTGACCGACTGCCTGGAAGGCAGCACTTAAGAGTTTTATGGTAAGACAATTACGCGAACTCTGGCAGGCCACCGTCACCGCCTTTCCAAAGCGCCTAGCGAGCCAGAGCCAGAGCCGTCCCTCTGTGCCTGAAGGGCCGAGCTCAAGAGCTTCACCGCAAAGCGAGCCAGCACAGTGAAACACCAGCCCTTCCTCACCTCCACAGCGTCCTCCGGCCACGAAACAGCGCCGGCAGCCCGGGCCAGGGCTGCCTCCCGGGAGGGCACCCGCAGCGCGCCGTTAGCCAGCAGCACTAAGTGGCAGACAGGCGAGGGAAAAATCTCCAACACACAGAATTGAGAAAAGCCAGCATAAAGCATTTTTATTGCAATAATAAAACTTGATACCTTTATGCAGTGGAGAAGGAAGTGAACGGCGGCAATTTCTCTTACCAAATCACTACGCAGGGCGGAGGGAGGGAGGGGGGCAGATAGGACAGCAGCAGGGGGAAGCTATGCATCGTATGAGACCAGACAAGCAGCGATGACCAGCATCAGGTGTCAGGAGAGAATGGTCAGGTATGTTCAGACCAGGGACAACTGGGGTCTGATGTTTCCTTTCAAGGGGGGAGAGAGTAGAAGGGGGGCGTTTTCTTCTCAGCTGACTCCCCACCAGCCCTGCCACCTCCCCTGTAGACAGCACCTTCCTTTTGCCTTTTGTTTTCTTTTTTAAAGAAAGCTCAATGCGATTTCCTGAATTTCTAAGTAGTTGTGGAGCTCTGATGGCTAAAGAGAAAATGATCTCCACAAATCCAAAAGCAGGTGGGCAGAAGGTCCACCATGAGATGGAAAAAGTCAACAGTTGGGAGAGGAAGGAGGGGTACAGCAGCCCCAGCTTCCCAGGAGTAAAAACACTGCATGCAGTGATGCTGTCCTTTCCCCAGAAAGCAGGGAAAGGACCAACTGCTTCCTCATTGCCCCGGTTCCAGGCAGGTAACTAACACAGAGTCCTAGTGCTACTTTGCTCTCCGCATCCATTCAGCCTCGACAGCCTCACTCTGCTATGGCTTTTGCAGCAGCAGCAATTTCTGGTTTTAGTACACCATAGAGGTCGGCACCAAAACAATTAACTAACAGGTTTCCTTTTGTTCAAACGACTCCTATCTAAGGTCAGGCCATCTGCGTACTACTGGTAAAACGTAGTCTACACCTGGAACAAAAATAAGATTAAGAACTTGACCCAAAAAGAGTTGAGGTTTACGGCGTATAGTTTAAAAAGACATAAAAACACGATACAAGGAGGAAGAGTCAGACGCAAAGCTTAGTGACCAAAGGCATTCAATCAAGGTGTAAGGTTATACAATGAGTGTAGTGGAATATCAGGAAAAGCTCCGTACAAAGTCATGTGCATTCTTCTTGAAGCTGAGATTCTGGATTCCTCCATGTGCCAAACCTGTTTGGGAGAGAAGAGAGGCACCGTAACAAAGCCGCTGGCAGAGAACCCAGCAGCTTTCAGGAGAAAGCGTGTTCATGAGACAGTTTCATTAGAAACCGCATGGTGCCCTCAAAAGCAGAACTCAAGCCCCAATTATGGAGGGGGAACGAGCCTTCAGCAAGGCAAGAGAGGCACCAGGGCCATCATGAGAGGGATTGGGCAGCCAGGCCCTGCTGTGGAAGGACACAGTGCAGGACACCTGAGGTCCCTGCCAACCTCAACTGTTCTGTGATCCTGAGGAATGTCCTGGCATGCTCTGCCAGGCAGGGCACTCTGCTTCTATCGCCACAGTGTTCCCCAAATCATCAGCGTCCTGAGAGCAACAGTCCTTCTACCTGCGGCTAGACACCTGCCCCATCCCTCTCCTGCCCCCCAACAACTGTCAGCTCCATCCCCCCTCCCCACGCTGGCCTGAGGCCAAAGAGAAGGGCCTTAAAAAGTCCTCCCCCAGCACCACCAGCTGCTTCTCCCTCCTTACCCAAGGACAGGGGGTTGGGGTAGGTCATTCCAATTTCATGAGCTCCACGTCAAAAATTAGAGTGGCATTTGGTGGGATGATCCCTGGGTGGCCAGTAGAGCCATAGGCGTAATCTGGGGAGATGGTCATCTTCGCCCTCTGACCAACGCTCATCTGGGAGCAGGGAAAGAAACACAGGGATGTCAGGAGATGCACCTGGACACCAGGTGAGAGACAGCAGGAGGGACACAGATCCGTCCCCCTCTGTTCCCTACACTGGGTAAGAGCAAGGACCTGGGCTGCACAAAGGGACAAGGGGATAGAAGAAGAATGGGAAGAACATCAGGAGAGGGAGGCAGCACTGGCTGGAAAAGGAGCAGGCCTTCAGCAGAGGGAGCAGGGCTACAGATGTCCTTCACACAAGTGTTTTTGTAGGACAGGAAGGGACAGCCAGGCCATTCCCTAAAGACACTGGCCTCCTTGTGCTACAATGTGGGCACTGCACGGAACAAGCCTCGCGTTTCCGATAGTCCATGCACTTGACTGCAGTCACGCATGCTGGGACTGAACCCACACCATGCAAACCAGCCCTTCCTCTGCGTGGGCTTGCAGCCCCAGGAGCCATCTTTTCTCAGAGCGGGAGGCTCTGAGCACTCCCCGTGGCGTTCATTCAGCGCTGACTCAGTATAGAAATGTCATCGCTGAGTCACCGACAGGCTGTAGGTGTTCCTGGGGCCCGGACCTGCTCCATTCCTGCCATCTGGCAGGTGGCAATGCAGAAGGTGATATTCTCACCCACACCTCCAATCACAGAGGGGGCGGAGGGGTGGAAAATACACAGTAAAAAAGAGAAAGAGCTGCGCACATTGTGATTTCTGCCCACGCTGCAGATCCTGAGCCACACGGCTCTGAGCAGCCCCTGCAAGGGAGACAGAGACACACAGAAGCACCAGGCACCTGGGCAACTCCTTCCTCCCAGCCGCGGATCACCTCCTGCTTGCCCATCACAAACTTGAACGGCTTGTTCCTGTCGCGAGAAGAATCAAACTTCTTCCCATCCTCCAGCATACCTGAGGAGAGAAAGGGGAGGTAGGGATGCGATTCGTAACACACATGCACAGAGCCACTCAGCCAGCCCCAGGCCAAGCCCAACACCCACGGGAAACAGGCTGTGACCTGGCAACTGAAACCATCTAAACGCGTGACAGTCACCCTCCAGGAGAGCTCACACGGCTGTGAGTCAGACTTCTCAGATGCAGATTGCTCCCTCCTGGGGAAACACCTGCACGGGCTGGACCAGTGGGAGAAACCCCACCCCACCAGCATCTCCCAGGGCACATCACCAGGGGAGGAGCTGCAGAGACCAGGGCAGGGGCCTCTCCACACAGAGAGGAACAGCTCTTAGACAGGGCAGGATTATTCCTCCTTGCCATTCTGACCCAAAGAAAAGTCCCCAGCTAGTGTAGGACAAAGGGCAGCAGATGGACACGGGACTCCTTCCCCATCTCAGTTCTCCAACATGAGTCATTCGCACAGAGCCTGCAGTGTTCCCAGTAGCAGGTTCAGGTCTGGTGCTTCCCAAGAACGATCCCATCCCACCCGCCAGGCTGCGAGCACCAGGAAACACCGCCTCCCGCTCGGAAACATGCGTTGCTCACTGCCTGCCAGGCAGGAAATGAGCTACAGGCAGGTTTCCGGGTTTTCATCCTCACACATACACAAGGTAAAAAAAAAAAAAAAAAAAGTCAGGGCTACTACTGCAGGGCAGTGAGGCACTGCCTGCCCGCAGCCTGGGCTCTGCCTCCAGCTTCCAGCCCTTCCCGTGCTCAGCCATGGCCCCACTGGTCACAAACCAAATCACACTCGTACCCTGGAATTACTGAGAGAGGCAGTGCCAATTGCTGGACACACACACATGCCCAAGGCAGTCCTCATTCCACGGCACATGTCTCATAAGTAGCACTGAACAAGGCTGATATCCGCAAAGCTAAATATAACTCCCCAACACAAGCAAAGGAGGAATTTCCTCCCCTCTCCATAGTCCCTCCCTTGCTCCCTGCGTGACCTTCTTGGGGAATCTCAGAGCCAGAGAGCTGCCTTATAGGAGCAGCAACTCCACAAGGAGAACTTGGCTATGGGACAAGTAACAGCCACGCTAGGAACTGAGCCTATCCAAGGTGCACGTGAGCAGCCTGGGGAAGAGCCTAGCGGAAGCACGCTTTGCATCTGGGGCATTAGCACCACCAGTGCGCGGCTTCCCAGGCTCAAGGACGGGGCAGGCACACGCACAGGCACCATTCGAGGCATTAAGGTATGGGAACCTGAGCCGAGGACCTGTGACCCCAAGCCACAGAGACTCCAATTGCAGTATGCGCAAGATGCTTAGAGGGCACTGCCTTTGCTAACCCAGCACAAGTATTATGAAGGAGCCTGCAAACTGACTTCTAGGGTTACAGGATCCATCTGCTATCACAAGTGCCCCGTCTTCCTGCCTAGATAGAGGAACACAGACGCATCTCTCTTTTGCAACAACTATGACCGTAAAAAGAAAGAGCCAGCGCTTGTGGCACCAGACAGGCAGTGGCTCATTAACAGCACTGAATGGTTTGAAATTCATGGGAGCAATGATCAACTCTACTGCAAATGCTTCTCACTTCTCTGCTTCCCAAAGAAACCCAAGAACCTGCTTTCCTGGATGGAAACCGCTCTAGTCTTGAAAAACAAAGACATTGCCTCGTTCAGCAGTACATGGGCCAAAGTGATTTCCCTTAACCAGGGCACAGTGTGAGTCACTGCCCACGGGCGCGAGAGAAGGCACCATCTGCACACACGATAGGACATTACCTCTCAGTCCAGGCTTGCGTTGTAACAGCAGCCAGAACGTCTGGGCCACAAACTGATAGGAAGTGGGGTTAGGGAAAGGGTACCTGGACACGGGCAGATTGCTGGGAGAGGAGAAGCTGAACAGAAAGAAGGGGATGGAGAAAAACTTGCCCCCTTTGCAGGGGCAGTGAGCACTGAAACCTCTGGCCTGTGTGACCATCCAGTGGAAGAGGGTGCCAGCAGCCTGCTCCTAGCCCGTCTGGGGCAGGACTTTCTCCTGGAATAGCTCATCAGTGCAGACTCACTGCTGTGCATGTTCCCAGTGCACCTGCTACCCACCACCCCAGCAAGGCCGCTCCAACTTAACATCACTTTGCAGCAAAGACCACCTGGGCTCCTCTCAGTTGTGCAGCCAGCGTCCTTTGGGGACAGGGAGGAGACTCGAACACGGTCTTGCAAAGAGACAGAGGTGGCCATTCTGTCCTTGCCAGAGCCCGGCTGAACCGCCCCTTCCCAGAGGCTCAATCAGGCTCAGCGGGCTCTGATTTCTAAAAGACAAGGGAACTGCAGGGCTGCACACACCAAGCAGCGCCCACACAGTGATTATTTCCCACGCCGACGTCTGCACAAGCCAATTCCTTCCTCGGAGCTGTTTGGGCTTAACAGCAGGCTGGAGCATGCAGCCGCACAGGGACCACTATTTCATGACACACCACTGGAGGTTTTAGAGCACATCACAAAGCATCGCAATTACTGTCAAATGACAACAGCCCACGGAAAGCCGCGAGGGCCACAGCCTTGCTCCAGCTCCAGGCCCCCGAGCGCGCCCAGCTCTCGGCGAGCAGCGGCGTGGGCAAGACGGCAGAGATGGGCTGTGCTGCGCGTGCCGGCTCACGGCACAGAGCTTACTGAGCCGGGCTTGCTGTGAAGGGCCAGCGCAGAGCAGTCCTCAGGCCCAGGGGAACTGTGACACCAGCACGCCACAGGCTTGTTCTCTAGCAGGAACGAGGCCACGTTCCTGTTTCTTTTGGGGAGAGGGGGATGAAATTAAGCATTTAATTTCACAGAAGGCAAATCTACTCCTGAAAAAGTTCCCTTCCGGGGCCCCTAGCTCTGACCATCAGCACCAGATCAGCTCCGCCAGTCACTCCACAGCCCTGGACTTTGGAATAATAAATCCAGAGTTTGCTCGTTTCCTCCTTCCAGGATAAACCTCTCAAAGCTGAGCCTGCTCCTACCCCAGCCCGGCACTGCGCCCCGCTGCAGCCGCGCCGGCCTCCCTCCCATCCCCAGCAGGGAGACTGCCGGCAGGGACACGAGGAAGGCCAGGCCGGCTGGAGCAGGCAGTGCTGCTCTGCTGGGGGACAAGCTGACCCTGAACTCAGCTCTGCACCCTCAGGTGTTGCAATGAACTTGAGCAGCTGCAGAAGGCTGAAGGAGACATCTTGTTCCTTCGTTCCTTCTTTCTGAGTGCCCACAGAAACGCTCCCCCTCCTGCTTGCCCAAGCGTGGTCATTCTGCCCACCCTTGCAGCAGAGCTTGCAGGTGACTCACACCTTCGAAGGAAGAGCTGCTGGTTGTATTTCCCTCTCTGCAGTCTCTCTTGAGTGACGCCTACCTGGCACAGCACGCTCTCGCAGTTTCACTGCCCCTCACCTCCTGCCTCCTCCAGCTCTGTCCACAAGACCGAACGTTGTGGGGTCCCCACGGGCCAGGACCAGCCGCTAAGGAGCGGGTGCTCTCACCTTCCAAAGCACACAGGGAAGCCAGAGCCTGCTCTCTCCCCTTGCCCCCTCCACACTTGGATAGCAAGGCTCCACAGCCAAAACCCCAGAGACCACACGCCAGCAAGCAACTTTGCTACTTGCCACAGCAAGCGCGTACATGTGGGAAGCCCTTGGGGCATCCATTTCCTGTAGAAGTGCAACTCGTCTAACGATCAGAAACACAAAGGCCAGAGAAACACAAAGGCATCATTAGCACCGCGGGAGTTGCTGCAGACCTCACGCAGGAACAGAGTCCTCTTGTGCCAGGCCCGGCACAGACGCTGACGTGCCTGCCTGCCTGCCTGCCTTCCCCAGCCACCCCCCTGCAAAGAGCTTAACTTTCCAATCCCGGCCTCGGGAAGCGTTTCGGAGCCAGCAGCACCCCAGCCACAGGAGAGGGGCATTAACACGGACTAAGCTGGTTACACCAGCCCAAGGGGGATCGATCACCACAGTGCAGCATAAGAGGGCACTGGAGTCCCACACGGGAACTCAACCCTGCTCCGCGGTGCAGGTCCATGGGACTTTGTGCTCCTTCCACCACATGGAAAAGCTGCAGACACCAACACACCAGAGGTGAAAACAAAGAGGCTCCAACCCTTTGGAGACAGCATCCTCGTCTTTTGCACTTCCTTTGCCCGCAAGGCTCCTGGAAGATTTTTCAAGCCTTGGACAAGTATGAACAACCATTTCCTCATCCCCGCTATCCTCAAGCAAAGAGATAACGAGATCTTAAAGCTATTACTAAGGCAAAGCATCCTCTGGCAAATACAGTTGCCCTGCCAGAGCCCCAGACATTGCAAATAACCAGAGGCCAAGAGCAGCAGCCAGCCCACGACGCATCCCAGCTTGTTAAAGGTGCCATCAGGGGCAAGGCTTGCGCCTCACCTGCTGCAAACGCTGTCCCTACGGCAGCGCTCCCACCTTGCGGAGCGCCCCTACGAGGAGGCGAGC